AAATCCATGTCTCTCCAATTTAGAGACAAGGATGTCGTGTGGGACAGTGTCAAATGCTTTGCACAGGTCCAGGTAGATGATGTCTGTTGCTCTTCCCTTATCCACCAATGCTGTAACCCCATCGTAGAAGGCCACCAAATTTGTCAGGCACGATTTGCCCTTAGTGAAGCCATGTTGGCTGTCACCAATCACCTCCTTATTTCCCATGTGCCTTAGAACAGTTTCCAGGAGGATCTGCTCCATGATCTTGCCGGGCACAGAGGTGAGACTGACCGGCCTGTAGTTACCATCTGTCATGAATGCATAGTACTATGGAACAACTAGTATCTCTATGTGACCAGCGGGTGAGCCTTGGGAGTGGATCCCACACTCTCCAGGCTGGGGACCGAATCACCCAACAAGGTGTCGGGAATGGTATGTTCTCTTCTTGGCCCAGCCAGTGACCCACTCAGTGACTTCAAGAAAACTATCCTGCTCTGCACCTCATCTTCCTCACCTGCAAAATATACAGTGGTAATTCTTCACTTCCCTGATATTAAGCTAGCTTAATATACATCAAAAAAACATTGAGCTCTTTGCTCAGAAGGCACTGGAGTAATTCACAGTTGTCTAATTGGATACAGCATCATGCTGCCAATCAAGGTGTTATCAATCAATCAGCTGAGCCAGTCCATTATCTTACAGAAAGCCATAGGAGGATGAAATACCACTTCACTAAAATTTAAATATTGAGAGACTATCAAACATATAACAAGATGTTTACAGGATTTTTGTTTGTCTAGTGGCCTTTGGGTAATGCTATGGGGGACAAGAACTGGAAACAGGGGAAGTCTAGTGGAACTTTCCCTGGTTTATCCTCAGCTTCTGGTAAGCAGCAGTTCAGGGACTACTTGAGAAAGGATTTGCATTTGGACAATCACATTTAATCAGCAGTGATGGGCACATTTTCCACAAACTTGTCTAATCATTTTGTTTCTTAAGCTGCTGATAGCACCGAGTTCTGATTTAATAGGTGTTATGTGAAAAGAGCACTTCCGTTTGTTTCAAACTTGCCACTTTCTAGCTTTGTTTAGCGCTCCTTATGGTTTCTTGTGCTTATGAGAAACGGTGATTCACTGCTTCCTTACATTCTCTGGCTTGCTTGTGATTTTAGAGACCTTGAGAATATCTTCATGGCCCCTCCCTGTTGTTGTCCCCTTCAGTCCAGGGAGTCCCATTTTGCAGGAGAGTGCAAGTTTCAAGCCTAGCACAGTGACTTGGCAGCAATCCCTAATTTGATGTTTTTAATCAAAGCTGTGCCTTGACTGTGCTTTCAGATTCCGGCAACTCATTGCTGAATATGAACCAGAAGTGCAGGAAGTATCCCGGCTTTTCCGCTCTGTCCTGCAGGAAGCTGCCGAGAAGATCAAAGAGGAGGAAGAGGCCAAGAAGCTTGCCAGGCAGTGGAACACAAAGAACAAAACCAGCCTCTCCTTAACAACGTTTAAATCCCGGTCCAGGATTTCCCCATTCATCAGTGACATCAAGACCATCTCTGAGGATGTGGAACGGGGCACCCAGCCCACCAGGAGGGTCTGGAGCATGCCAGAATTTCGGAATATCAAGGATTACTGACTCTATACTGAACAAGGTTTTTAGACAGTGATCTTTCAAAATCCCAGTTAACCCTTTTTTAGCTCTACTGTTTCTTCTTTGTTCCAGCTCGCTCTTCCTGCCTGTCTCTCTCTTGGAAGCTGTGTCCATAGTAACTGCTGCTGATGCCTGTGGCGTGTGACACAATTTATTACCAAACATGCTAGCCTTTCCTTTAATTTAGTAGCTATTCAGTAACCTTAAGGGCAAGGCTCACTTACTGTCTCATTTTTATTACTGCTTTCTTGTGGAAAATGAATTAGTTTTGTGATGTCTGTCTTCTCCCTTCTCCCCCCCAGCCTGGATGTAGTTATCTATAAAAGCTTTTGGCCCAAGCTAGCAAAAGCTGCTGGCTGGACCAACCTTGCTGAAAGCAAGACAGCTACTTACATGAGTAAGGCTTGCAGGATCAGGCCTGTGAGTTAAAGCTAGTATCTGATTTGGAACTGACCTTCCTTTTCCAACTAATAACCTTCCTCAGTGCTACAAGAAACTTCACAGGTAACCTCAGCACTGCTCTTGATCAGCTTTTTGCTGACAATTAGCAATCCAACCTGAGTAGAAACAGACCCAAGCTTTTTGAGATGAAAGACCAATATTATTCCACAGCAACTAGTTTATGCATGCTCAGGTTTCTTGGGTATTTTCTCTTTTGTGCAGGCAGAACCCCCTGAACCTTGCACCTGCAGAGTAGATAGAAATGTAACAACCTGCTGTGTAGATATACAGGCGGATACATCAGTGCTGTGTCAAATGCTGTTCTTGGTCCTCAATGCTCTGTGTTGCTGAGGTAAGTGCTCCACCCCACATCCCAGTAATAAGTCAGTGGGCTGAAATGAATGTTTATGGCTAAGCCTGAAAGAGTACTGTAGTATCAATGTACAGAGAAGGGTGAATGGAATCAGCATTCATCTACAGGGCTCTTTGTACAGCTGCAAGAATTGAGATCATTTGAACAAGCTGCTGCTGTGAGTGACAAAGGGCTCTGGTAGATGAAAGTTTGTGCCCTCAGTCTTCTCTCATGAGTGCTCACAAGAGAGCTTTCCAGTATCCCAGGCTGCTGGCCAGTGAGTTGATACTATTACAAAAGAATCTTTAATGCAAACTGAGTAGCTTGTAGGCCAGCATGGTTCTGCTGAGACCTTGAAGAAACAGGAAAAGGCTTCTGAGGAAAAGCTACTAGGGCCTTAACTCAGCATCTGTAGGGAGAGTTCTCACAAGCAAAGGAAAGAGAATGGCACGCTGTGAAAATCATGGGTTCTGTAGAGAAGCCAAGGGCTAGGATGCTTTGTGGTGACCAACAGGAGATGGTGACCCCACAGGAGAGGGATTTCCCTGAATGACTGGCTTTTGGGGAATCATCCCAGTGGGGTATAGCCTCTTGGAGGACCCTGTAGCTTTGTTCTTTTGCCTGTTTCCGACTCTTTTCCCTGGGGACCTTTGCAGCAGCATGTGGGTACTACAGCCAAGATAAAACCCTTTGAAGCTGTGCCAACTCTGGGAAGAATTCCAGCGCATGAAATCTATCCTAGAGTAGAAATGTGCAGTTTCTTCCAGAGATGGGGGAGGGCAGCATAAAACAAAGATCAAGATCAAACCCTTAAGAGCTCTCTAAGACTGTGGGATTCTGGCTCTTCCTCCCTCCCCTGTGGGCTACCTAAGATTGAACACAAGGCTTTCTTACTAGCACCAGGCTGTAGTTTCTAGTCTCCTGGTAAACTCTGCTGCCAGCAACCCTCCTAGGGACAGAAAGCAGAAGCTCACTTTTAATCAAAAACTCAGGGCTTCCAATTACAGCATCCAGTTTGGAATGGGTATTTCAACTCCAGGTCAATGAGGGAGAGTTTAAAGCCTTCTGACAATCAGCTTCATGTTTTTCAGCTGTATGTCCTTGTGAAGTAACATGATTGTGTATATGAAGTAAAAACAAAGGCCTTAGCTGTCTAGAAGAGGGGGATCTCTAGCGAGGGATCACCATGATTTGCAGAAAAATTCTTGTTTGGAAAAAAGTTAATAATCTTTTTTTTATATATTTGCAAGCCACTGTATGGTACTGATGGTTGAGATGAATTCATGAATTTCATGCTACAGTTCTGTAGTCATTTTATTTGCACTTGCGTTCTATTTTGACACCTTCAGTATTGACTGTATTAATGCAATATTTGATGGACTGCTGGGAGTGATGGGACATTCTGACACGCTGACATAAAGCTCTTTGTTACAGTACAGTGTCTGTAATGTGTTCACTCTTTCTTAAGGAGAATCAGGAGTA